CTCAGGGTGGCTCCTCAGTCACTTACTGTGTGTGGTACAGTATATGGATCAATTAAGTTGGTACTCTCTCCTAAAAGCTCTTTTTATTTTTTTTATTCCAGGTGTACTAAGCCCTGTGATGGCTGTTAAGACTCCCAGAGGACTAATGTAAATTCTGTCTGAAAAAATAATAGCTTCCATTACAGCATCTTGAATCACAGTTGCCCATCGCAGGAGAGCAGACACAAGAACTGAACAAAGGACTTCATACTGCAGCAAAAGTTTGAAGGACCCTTTTTAACCAAATTGCCTAGACGAGCAAAAAATAAATAAATTGGGCTGCTGGACAGCGCTTTGTGGAAAAAGAGAAAAAAAAAGAATAAAGCAGAACGGAATTTTAGGTAGCAAAACCAATCAGACACTGTCATCAGGGGCCAAGAGAGCACATACAGTAATGCTCACACCCTTGAAACCTGACAAGCACATCATCTCTATCAAGGCATTTGCTGCAATCACAATATTTACAATATTTACAGAACACTGAATGCCACATCGCTCTGTCACAAAATAACCTGCCCTTCTTCTTTTTTTTAATGTGTTACTTTAATGTCTCCCCCTCTCCATTTCTCAAAAGCCTCTCCAATACGCATTTGCACAAAAACTGGAAGCATTTCTGTTCGGATAAAGAAGAGCCCAGACAACTAATCCCCGTGCCTTGTGCTGGGTCAGGGCCGTACAGTATCCATGCTGTAATACTCAAGGAACAGCAGACAAAGGGGGAATAATCCTCCGCTCTTGATCCCATTCTCTTCACAGAGATAGGATTTCTTATTTATCACATTGTGCCCACTGCACCGGTGTCCCGGATGTGTAATGTCACAGCCCGCCTTCGTCTTGCAAAAGATCGTGCAGGAAAACCACGTAAATCTTTCCAATCGCTCGCCTCAATTCCAGCACTTCCAGCACTCTTCTCTCCCCCTGCAGGAAAAGAAACCTGGGGCTTGGGCAAAGAAATCACACTTCAGTAACTGAATGACTCAGCCTCCCTTTCACAGCTCTGCGCTCTTTCAGAGCAATCCCTCCTCAGTACAGTCCAGCAGAAATGATTTTCGAGATGGGCAACCACTGGAACAGACTGGGGACGAGGCTCAAGTCCGCAGAGCTTCTAAACGTTTTTCATTTCTCTCTCAGATCGAAGGAGTTACTAAAAGTAAAGGAAACCCTAACCAGCAGTCCCACTACACAGCATGTTAATAATAATAATAATAATAATAATATAATAATAAACTTTATTTTATATAGCGCCTTTAAAGGTGGCTTCTCAAAGCGCTTTACAGGATGACAATAACAATAAATAAGAAGACTACAACAATAAATAAGAAAATTTCACAAGACAGGACACAATTATAATTACAACAATAACAATAGAGGAGACCGTGGAAGATGGTATTAAGAAGAGCAGAGGGGTGAAGAATGGAACCAGTTAAGTAAAGGCTTTACTGAAGAAGAAGGTTTTGAGTCTGGATTTGAAGGAGTTTAGAGAAGGTGACTCTCTAATATCCTTGGGCAAAGAGTTCCAGAGCTTGGGGGCATAGCAGGAGAAGGCCCTGTCGCCCATACAATGTAGACGGGCTTGGGGGACAGTAAGGAGGGCAGAATTTGAAGAGCGGAGGTTGCGAGGTGGGGAGTAGGGCGATAAAAGTTCAGACAGGTATTGAGGTGCCAAGCCATGTAAAGCCTTGTAGGTGAGCATGAGGATTTTAAAGTCTACGCGGAATTTGACCTGAAGCCAGTGCAAGGACTCCAGGATAGGAGTAATGTGAACACTTGTACTAGACCTGGTCAGGATTCTGGCTGATAAAAGCGTGTCCTTTTATGTTAATAAAAGGACACGCTCACAATGAGCATGCCGGGGTGCACACTACCAGACAGACACCCTGCATGAAGTCTGCAGTAAGAGTGATCGCAGACCGCAGCTGAGACCTGCTTTTAAAAAGTTTTGGAATTTCCACCATAAATCAATGATAAATTGAGTAATATGGAAAAGACATATTCCAGTACTGCAGGAAAAGAATTCAATTTCTTCTGCAGAACCTGCTCTGGACTGGAACCTCTCTGAAAACGGACTTGACCAACTAAAGAGTACTAAAATGGTTCTGACAGAGGTTGTACCCAGTGAAGAATATACAATGTAAGCCATTTTTGACATTTTAAAATACCTTTAGATTCAGATTTTCTGAAAATAAAATCTTAAGATATACAATTAGTAAAATTACTAGTGCCAGGTACAGTACAGAGCAACAAAGTAGATGTTAATTCCACACTGAAACGTAGAAAGATCAAAATCACGTTTTGTCTGTGGAACCTGAGGAAGGCTGAACAGCTGAAATATACATTTTTTTCTTTCTTTACTTTACAGAATGGAATTAAGATCTTGTTTTTTATGTGTTTTTTTATTTCTTAGTTTTCACCTGTTCCTAATTATACATTGAGAGTAATTGTTAAAGCTGTGGTGCCTGAAATTCTTGTTTCTGTGGTATTCAAAGTACAGGTCGTCCAATGTCCTTCTATAACAGAATTTCAAATACCATTCCCTCTGAGAATGATTCACCAGCTTCCTGAGATGAATTAAACACGTTTATTTTAACTCAGATCAAATCATATACTGAATGATAAAATCTTCAGCATCAGGTGTCCAGAGATACTTTTAAATGTCAGGTTGCAGAAGAGCAACATTTTAATTTAAACAACTTTTTCCTAAAGTATTTGGGCATAGTAGGTAGCTACTGTACCACTAGTGCTACTAGTCTTCCTTCTGCTATTTTCATATTGTTTCTCGTAATCTTTCACAAGAATCACTTAACTTTTTAGATCTGTTTAGCTCCTGATACTGTATCTTAAAGTTTGAAACTGACTTAGTTCCCTTACCCACTGCAAACAATTATAACCTAATAAGAATCCACTTCTGCTTGTTAATGTTGCTAATTACAGAGAAACTACTGATGTTGATTCTCACCATTAGACACTGATGGGTTGCAATACATTTTCATGTGGTTCTCGTAAAAGAGTGCTCCCAAAACTTGCATTCTGCTTCTGAAGTGCACATAAATATTTTTCTGGGCCTGCTTAATAATTGATTTGCATTATTTTATTCTAGTTTAGTATCCAGTAATGAACAAGACTCAAGAGTGCTTTAATATTCTAGTGCATGAGCCACAGTGCATGTCATTGATGAAAATTAAGTACAAAGACAATGATATCTAGATATTATATTTATATACTTACTGGAATAAACCATTGTGTGATGAGGGAAGGGCAGTCAGTGGCTGACAGTCTACTCGCCCATACTGGCGACGCTGGCTTGTAAAACATTTCTTCTGACACACCCTCGTACTCTACCACTCTCAACTACAGTTATTAAACCTCCTTAACCCCTTAAACACCAAGACTCATTTTCCAAAGGTTTTGCATTGCATTTCATCCTGGCCTGTCAATCTTTTCTGTCTATTTTATAGTTTAACCCACAGCTGTCGGATTTTTGTATCCCGTTCTTTGGAGTCACATGAAAAGCAGGCGAATATGGACGGATTTGCTCAAAACAGCGATGAGATCTGACCCTTCAAGATCTAGCACTCCTTCATACGTGTACACAGCTGGAGAAGCGCGACATGATCTGAACCGATTTGTCCCTCAGCCATCAACCCCAGCACCAGAACTTGCTTATTTTCAATCGTCATTGCAGACCCTGCCCTGGATTCTCACGGGTTAAACGATCAGCCCCTGAAGAGGAGGCAGCACTGACAAATCACTGCCAATTCCAGTCTCAGTGACCCATTTACATACAATTACAGCACGCAGCTCTGGAGCACTGTTCTGTAGCCACGTTCTCGGCTTTGATAAACAAGTGAATAATGCGAATAATGCTAAATAATTACAGACCTCATCTTATTATTACGGACCGAGGACGATTTGGGGAGAAAAACAAACTTCATTGATTTTTCTCTACAAGTACAGTCTTACTTAACAGCAAATGTCATGTTCACACTGAGCTCGAATGACAGCAGGCTGCAATTGTTTGTTTGTTTTTTTAAATCCCAGACAAGAGAATAATTAGATTGCACACAGTGGCCCCAACAGCTTTTCAATATTACCAAATGTATTCAGTTAGGCCGGGAATATTTGGATATAATGATCAGAGCAGATACGTGATGTCGAGAAGTGGAGTATGCTTCTGTTCAGTGGGCTACAGGTTCTCAAAATCATCTAAAACCTTCCTTACTGGCAAAACACCTTGCATAAATGAAACACCACTAATCGCCATGCAAGATGCAGAATAACGCTCGAGAACTTGAGAGTTTAAAAAAACATTCTTCCTCATGCCCACTTGCAAAACACAATAGCTTTTGCCCGCTCGTACTTATATTTTAACATGTGACTTCCAGAGTTATCTCATTCCCAACAGCAACACAGAAAAAAATATTTTTTGCTTCTTCTGCACTGTTTTAAGATAAGATAAGATCACTTTATTACACAATTTCTTACATTAGGTATTCGTCTTTTTGCATACCCCAGCTTGCTCTCCATGAGACACCAGACAGGGAGGGAAGCTGGGTGTCAGAGCGCAGGGTCAGCCATTATACAGCTCCCCTGCAGCAGTTGGGGTTAAGGGCCTTGCTGAGGAGCCCAATGGAGTAGGATTCCTCTGCCGGCCGCGGGATTTGAACTGGCACAGGCCGGTTCCAGCCACAGGCACAGATCCTTAGCCACAGAGCCACCGCTCCACCCCAAATAAAATAAATGTCAAATAAATAAGTTTTTTAAAAATGAGAGGTATCTGAACCCCTGGCGAATAAGCATTCATTCGCCAGCCTCTCACTCTATACAGTGAGATACTGTTTGGTCTGCTACAGATAAACCAAACTTTTCAACAGCAACGACATTTAAATGATTCCCCACAGGAACAAAGTTGAGCCTAAAAGTTCCATAAGCCTAGTCTCAACAGAAACACATTTAGACGCTACCTTTTGTTGGCTCGGTGCGCTTGGGCAAGTCCAGTGTGTCATAGTTTTTGTCGTTCTCTCCATTCTTCCTCCCTAGATAAACACAGAAAGCGAGAGAGCAATCGTAAATGTCACAGCCAGGGGTGGTGGCGATGGTGGTCATGAGGAGGTGGGTGGGGGTGGGGTATGCCAGTGGCACGAACAGAATAATAAAGACATGCTGCATAATGGGGAGAAAAATCAAGAATACTCTATGACAACCTGCAAAGCTGCCTGACTAACGCACAAGCCCACCAGAAAAAAAAGCCCTATTCACTTCAGGAAACGTCTACTGCCAGAACCTCTGTGACAGAAAGCCATAGTTAACGATTCTGAGACTGGAAAAGAAAATTGTGCACGATGATGAATTTCAAACCTCGTCATTCTTCTAACAGCTACCTGTTGTGTCCCACGATCAATCATCCACTTAACTACTGTAGCAGTTTCCCATTCACAGATGAACAGATCTTCAAGAGTATGCTTCTTAAATGAACACTGAGTCCGTCAAAGCTTAACATCAGAACTAGGAAAATGCAACACCAGCCTTAGTGCTAATTGACAGACGTTATCCTGCGATATGACTTGAAAATACTTTTCTGAAGTTGAAAGGGAGCTCAGTCTCCTCAAAGGAGATGAGACTGCAGCAAAGTTTAAAACTCTCTTTGCCAAGAAATTCTCCCTTCTGCACCAGAGCAAAGGTACTCTAACAGGCTGTTCCCACTGGGTATCATTCGTTTGCTCAGGAACTATATTGCTGGGAGAACTCTGACAACTTTCGGAATAGAGAAAGAACCGGGGGAAAAAAAACACCACCCCCCTTGACTTTTTCGTCTGGGAAAGGAGGACAGAAACCATTAATAATAAAACAAAGTGTGACTGAAGTGAAGCAGGAGGAAAAAAAAAACTCACCTTGATTAAACCACTCCTCTACAGTAAGCGAAGCAGCAGCAATGCATAGAAACACAAGCAGGGGAGAAGAGAAAAGTAATGATAAAAGGTGTGTGCAGTATTAGAGATGACAGGATTAAACATGTGACCAGTTCTGAACTCAAAACGGGGGAGGCGGAGGGAAAAAGAGAAAGAAAAGTACACCGACTGCAAACAAAAAAAGAAAACAGCCAGGAAAAAAAAAGGAAAAAAGTTAAACAAACAACAAACCATGGACATCCTTATGGTATAATGCTCACACAGAAATTTCATTCTCCATCTCACTCAGTGAGATTGCCTCTCATCAAGAGCATGGAGCTGTGTCCCTGTGGTGCCAGCAACAGAGTACCAACAGGAACGCAGGACAGGTTGTCAGAAAGTGTCTGCACAATCCAGGCTGCCTACAACCTGGGGCTTTAACCTCTGCCTTATCATGTGTCTGTCATGGAGTATTGCAAACCAAAGGCCCCCCCATCTTTCTTCCACAGTCTAGGCTACCCATCAGTAAACACCTGTGCTAAATCTGCTCTGTGCAGGAGCCCAAAACCAGCGCCAGTTTTACTAAGGACAGTTGAGGAGGAAGAAAGGTATTCACTGGGTTTCCAGAACCATGCATGGGCATGACTGCACACAAATCCCAGAAATCTAGATTATACGGCAAGAGGCTTTGGCGACTTTCTTTTTACAAGTATGCATCAAGGGGCTTGGATCTAGTTCTTGCAAAACCTTTAAAAGCTGATTGTGATAATACTGCACATTAATCAGTGGGTTCATCTAGTTCCAGCAGGAGGTTGCTACTTTCTCCCTCTCATCCCTTCAGCTAAGCAGAGGCATTGAGCCTTAAATGCAGAGCATTTAATTAGACTGACCTCCTGGCAACTAACGGGCAACATCAGTGCTCCTGTCCTGCAGAGTGAGCCACCCCACAGGTCAAGATTGCAAGGACATGAAATGTGTTTTCCATGCATTCTAGCAGAGTCCTAACTGACACACTGAGCTGCACATGAGAACACCCTGGTTGTCATTCGGATCCAATTCTTAACGAACAAAACAAAAATCCTCCCAATCTCACCAACACAATCAGGACTGTCATTCATCCACAGCACAAGCCCATAAAGATTTACAAAAACACCGAAAAAAATCCAATGATGTTGGTAGAAACCAGAACAGAAACAACACAAGTGTAAAAACGGGAAAGGAACAAAAGGCTTCTTAGGCAGAATGTCCTAGAATTTATGAATGTAAAACATTAATAAAAGCTCAACATGCAGTGCCCATGCAGCATTATTCTAGGGATGATCCTCCAGTTCCAAGGCTTGTCTGACAGGTAATACTTTCAAAAAGTAACTCCCCACTAAGGTCATTAAATGATGATGATGAAGCCATCTGGGAATCTGGGAAATTTCAGCTAGTAGAAACAGCACAGCCACTGGAGCCCGACAGTACCACCCTGTGACCGACCTTTGGCTTTTTTGCCCCCGAAGCAGCCAGCGTCGTCCTTCTTCTTCCTCTGGGGACCCCCAGATCCTGGCGCCTGATTGGCTGTCGGCTCCAGGAACTTCTCCGCCCCCGGCACTTCCTTGTGCACGTGGTAGGACAGATTCCGCATGATGCACACGCAGTTCTCCACCGACTGCAGGAGGGAAGCACAGACACGAGGCGCGTATTACAGCCGAGGCGCTGGCTGACCTATAGGACCATGTGATCATCCCCGTTTTATCTGAGCGGCCCACAGCCGTACACACCGCGCGACAAATCGAGTGAACAGCTGCTGTCCAAGTGGGGCGGTTCACATGCTTGAGCGCGCCAGACGCAAAGTTGGGCGATGATGAGAATGGCTGAATCACTGGGGTTTCCCCACCTCATGAATCAGCCCGAAAGTGGAGATCCCTGTATATCCTCATTATGCATATGATAACATATGTTCCCTTCTACCTAAACCCAGACTGAAATAAGTCTTAGGAGATCAAATTGAATTTGAAAAGCAAAGAACAGAAAGAAAACGAAGCAGCGCCAAGTACGATAAAAGTGCAATTTCCCTATCGCCCAAGTAGAAGGAAGTGGGTACCTTATTGTCCATGTCCTTCTTGCCCACAGCAGACTGCAGTGCGTGGAGCAACGCGTCCACCAGGCCCTCGCACTCCCTCAGCCTCCTGCGTGCCTCTGCTCCATCCGAGCTCACGTTCCTGCAACGCATAGCACCCAACTCACGCATCCTGTAATTCCACAGGCAGTCGAAACCTTCACTGGTCTCGGGGCACCAGCGACGACACAGTTGGCTGGGACACACCCCTGTTGTGCTACAAAGACGGCTCAGCTGCTGCGGTTCTAATAATGTCTCGTTTGTGGACAGGCACTGCCGAAACGAACCTGTGACGCCGTTTAAGAAAGCGCAAAAAAAAAAAAGCGTCTATTTTGACCGAACCTGGAGATAGTTATACCGTACCAAAAAACGGTGAGAAAAAAGGATATGCAAAAACGAAGCCATCTGTCGCATCCTTTCCCTCTGTGAAGTTTATTTCACGCTCATCACACCGATTAACTGCTGAATGAGTTCATCCGAGAGGGCCAGCAAAACCTCCGCCCTCTGCAAAGGCTGGAGGACAGGTACGGCATGCAGCGTTCTCCATGCTCAGCGGCAGAAAGGTGGAGGATAAATCAAGTCAGCTTTCCATTCTGTTGTCCACGGGCGGCTTCCCATTAATCGCAGGTACAGTCTAGTCATTATACCACTTTGCACTAATTAAAACAAATCAATTCAAGAGAAACGCAGACACTGAGCCATCTGGGCTGCTATTTCTTCCTTGAAAATCTCCACATTCATCTTACGTAAGTATCATTAGTGTATAACCAGTATCAGAAGTTAATGCAGTTCTAATGGAATTTTTAATAAGTGTCTGAACAAATAGACCAGGGTTGGGTCTTTTCTTTTCCTTGATGCGAGTTTCACATTGCAGACCATACCCATCTGTTGGATAGCCTTTTCCATCACATGAGATTGCTGGTCCTGTTTATTACTTTTTATTGTACTGATGCTATAGCAACGAGCACTACAACAGCCCCTCTGTAGGTCCAGTGCAATTACACTTAAGTTTCTTTTAACAAAGCAATGCATTAAAATACAGGGCACTTTTTTAGCACTCGAAAACACCAATCACATTATGCTGGGAACAATCAATAAGCCTTCATCAGTTTCCTGTGGTTCTGTGTTCTCTCTGGACAAACGTTTAATGACAGGATGACAGCAGATTTTGTTGAGTGTCTATTAACCTCTGCATACAAAATACAAACCATATATAGTGAGGAGCAATCTTATGACCTCTTGTAGCTGTTTGAGTGCAACTGTCTTGGTACAGCAGTAGATTCTATACTCTGTTCAGATTCTCTTGGACTTCTCCCAGTTTACTAATCTCAAAATTAACTATACCACCCTAGCATAATAGGCTTTCATTCAACGGATATAACTCCATTAACTTCAGCTGTACCATACTGCTAAAAAGGAGAAATTCTCCTTTTAAGTACTGGGAAACTACATAATCTGCAGATGCTTTTCTCATTTAAGACACAGCGACATGCCTGTCTGGCATACACTCTGTTCTAAAGATCTGTCATTTCAGAACATAGCAGAAGGGCAACAGAAACGAAACTCATCCTGAAACTAGGTTCACACCTTCCCCCTTCTCTCAATGACCGACTTACTTTCGTGTGATCTTCTCTATTCTCATGCAGCTTTCGACTTCACACCTCTCTTCACCCCTCTCCACTTCGCACCACCTGAGTGGTCTCAGCGGGTGTTAGCGGGTGAACAGTCCAGCGCTCAGTGAATTCTGCTTCGCGATGGCGGGGAGAGGCGAGGAAAGCAAGAGGAACTAAACTATTTCAACCTGAAATAAAAAACACCTCAGGTTCATGTTTCAATCTACTCCATCCAGGCCTCCTCTCCATCGTTTTGAAGTCCCCCTATCCTGGCACGTTCAGTATGGATGACCAGACATCTTTTTCTTCCAAAACAGATGTCATCTCTTCCTGCTGGATTCCCAAGTGTCCCCAGGACAGTTGAGAGACGTGCCCTGGCTTGGCTTCGAGGCCTCTGTCCAGTGGAACGGGTCTAGCCGAGCTCCAGCTGATGCCTCCTGGAGCCACCTGAACCACCTCGATCGGCTCCCCCCCCGATCTGGCGACGTAGTGTTTCTCCCAGGCTCTCCGCCTCGTCTCCACCGCCTGCATCCTTAGGCAAGGATCGGGACTCATCCGAGAACAAGCCTTCCCACTTGGCCCACTGCAGGTTGGCACGGCGCCCGCAGCTCTTCTGATGGCACAGCGCTCCTCGTGCTGACGGTGCCCGCACCTGCCTTCGCTCACGAACAAGACCCCGAGCTGCTCGGACTGGTCAAGCGTGTCCTTTACCCAGACAGGGCTCTCCTGGTAAGAACCGGAGCACATGTGCTTCTCTGGCACATCGCCTCTAGCCGCAAAACCACACTGAGGAGGTAAGAACGACGCCAAGTGATACCATCTCCACGCCTGGGCAGAGCCTCAATATCCTGTTCAGGAAAGACCCCTGGCAGAGTCCAACTCCGGCCTTGCATTAATGCGTCTCAAGCCAGACGACTCAATGAAAACCCTGCAACCAACAGCAGGAAAATCAAACGTGGCAACTCTCGGTGCTCTGCTTACAGGAAGAGGAGCTCTGAAACACTGCAATCAAGATGCCACACGACACAGCGGTAACCGACTGCTGCAAGAGTTTTTACATGAAAAGGGCAATTCGTTAATGGTAAAGTGGAAGTTTTAACCTTCAGCGTCTCACTTTGTAAAAACATCCCTTCATATTCCTGCCTTTTACTGACGGACACGATTAACTGCTGGGTTAAGCAGAAAGATGCGATTTTTTCTGCTACTCTTGTTATTGCCGCCTCAACGTCTTAATTTTACAGGTGCTCGCTGCCTGTTCATGCGTGCAGCATGCCGATTCCTATAGCAACACCCAACAACACTGGCCTGCCACTCCATTCTTACCACATCCGATAACGAAGAGCTGCGCTCTTGTGTTGTACCTGCCAATAATGGGGGACTAACTGAGCTCCACAGAGACCCTACGCCTAGAGAGATCACTGCAGGCTGTTTACTGTGGTCACTGTTCTCCTTCTCTCATCTCTTGCAGGATGACCTTCCCACTTCCCTGCTGTTTACAGGCACATGACTTAAGGGGTGTCAGAGAAGGTCACCATACATGCTTTCTTGCATATGCGGTAACTGAACAATACCACGCAAATATTAACAGACAAGGGTTCAAATAAAGATGTACGCCTGATTCCAGAATTTGACTGGCGGCAGCACCTCTGTGAATTGCGCAGAGGGCATCAATTATTCAGCACAGGGTGCCACTTCATAGAACAAATGTATTATATACTGTACTGGTGAAGAGGCAAATTGTCCCAACTCTTCAAACCATCTATTCTCTTAATATTGAAGGAGGGGGAAAAAAAGCAATAAAAAAGCAATAAGACAAGTGAACTCAGGTCTGTTTATCACCGATATGGCACTGCTGCTAGGCAGCCTACTAGGCAACAGATGTCACTGGTTACTGTTTCCATAGTGATAGAACCGGCAGTAGGCTCCGAGGCACAGACTGAAGCAACAGAGCCAACGCACACCTCTGGGTATCAGATAACTGGAGAGCAGCTCTGTCTGACCCTGTGGAAGGGTTGTGGTTCATGTGGGACAGCTGGAGAAGGGGACACAGATTACACAAGGCTCATGTGTACCGTGTCTGTAATCTACTATTGCCTCAATCAGTCCCATCTCAGTCCAACAACTCCCTCTGCTTACTCTCCATTCAACGTATGGCTTTTAATCAGTAACATCACCCTTTCAAATACATTCTATAGCAAATAATTACCGCAAGCTAAAGAGATCTCAAGTAATGTATACTGCCCTAGAGCTCATCATACCAGTATTGATTATTCTAAACTTAACTCATGTATTTTACTTCAGTTAACCTCAGGCTACTAACACTGACCATGTGTGCTGTTTAAGGAAGGCACCTCTTTTCAGGTTATTCAAACAGACTCGGATGTCTGTGGAAAAAGGGGCAACAATTTTAATCTGGAATGCGTTAAAAAAGGCAAAAAAATAAGCATAGTGACGAGTTCTCTAAGCACTGTGCTGGAGCTCGGCCAATAGACTGCAGTTCTTGGGCTGCAGAAGATTAAAAACAGTAAGGCGGTTGTACAGGAAGCTGCACAGAGCTGTTGCTGGAATAACATGCACATCCCTCAGTGCTGCTTCTGCAGAGCCATACAGTATATTGTGCCTGGGCCTTAATTGAAACCAGGGCGGCTGGAAGGAAGACAGCCGTTAGCTTAGAGCATGTCAGACAACAGCGTTACAAAGACAGGAAAACCTGTTAATGTTCACAATTAACTAAAACCAAACGCCAGAACTCCAGACTAGATGTAAATAGTTTAATATAAATACCATGCGAAATTACGACACCATTTGTTAAGGCTCCTTGCAACTTCCTATTTTGTAGTGTGACCTGGCTATGGTCACAACTTCAATCTGGCCATCCAGAGCTACTTTTCGCCACTGGGAGGTCAACGTTCTAGTCTCAAAAAAAAACCTACAAGCACATCCAACTACCTCTCTCCTAAAGTAATCAGACTGTCACTCATCAAATAGCACAGAGTCACAAGTGAGGCCAGAGAGTGAATAGGCTTTAATTTCCTGTGTCCCATCTGCAGGGCATGCTACCAGGGTACAGAAAAGCCTTTATTTTTTCTCCTAAAGTACTAATTCAAGGTCACACAACGCACCGTGGTGAAAACAGAGAATGTGGGTGCCTCAGGTATCGCTGTCAGATTGTTCAGTGTCAAAGGGCATTTCGTATTTCTGTTCAATGGAAGGTGGAGCTCACAGACGCATGAGGAAAACCCGCAAGTGCCTAATCTCTTCAGGGCAACATCAAACGCCACCTACCCCACCCCTACACATCCGCCAAAAATAAAGAGAAATAAACCCACTCAGAAGAGCGATTACACTGCCAAAATGAGACAGGGTTATAAATGCTCCTGCTGTTTAGTGCCAATCAGAACAACAAAAATGAGCGGATCAGCTTAACATCTTACAACAGCCAAAGTTTAGAACCACAGCTGAGGACAGAGAGGTGTGCTTCTGCAGGCAACCAGGGCGTGATCTGTCCGTAGTGAGGTTTTAAAAAAAATGTATATAATTTTATATAAACTGAAAAAACTCTTTGCGATTCCCCTCCCAGCACTCTAAAGACGAGACTTGAGGTAGCGGGGCCGCCCTGAGAAGAAATTACAACATCTGGCTCTGGTTCAAAAAGAAAAACTTATCTCCAATGGGACTGCAAATAATATCTCCAAAAAGGTTTTACTGAGGCACTTTTCATTACTTTGGATGTTCATACAACCGCCCTGGGGAATGGTTAGAGCAATCTGGAGGCAGAGCAGCAGCGTGGCGGAAATGAACTAACCCCTGCAGCCCGAGATCACCTTCACCCAAACAAGCAGTGAAGAAATTCCCGCCTCTGATTCACTGCACTGTTAGTGCTGACGGGAAGGATTATTGAAGAATATTTCTGAGCCCACCCATCTTGAACCTGCTCTCAAGTAACCAGAAAGCCTCAATGTAAACAGAAGACAGGCAGGTCTTTCACTAGGTTCTTTCTTTCTTAATCCTTCTTTTAAATTGAGGCCGTCTGTCTCAACACTTCAGCACGAGCCTCATCCTGGCGTTTTTTTGGTGCATCTATTTATGTTCTCCCACCTCCATCTTCCTCCCCTTCGTAACTGCTTTCAGCTGGAGAGAATGTGTTGAATCTCACTGCGAACAACGTTATTAAATTACATTCAATATATTAAAAAGACACCTTCCGCTCCTTAGATTTCACCCAAAAAATCTTACAAGCGAGTGAACCTCAGTGTTAGTGTGTCAGTGTTAGAGAAACAAGAGTACAGGATGTATTTTCCCCGATAGAAGAAGATGTAGTTTATTGTGACTCACAATATCCGGCACCAAGCAGGATCTCTTTTGAAGTAGACTCATCCCTGCTCCGCCCACCATCCCCCCACCAACGCCCCAGACCTCGATGTGCTGAAGAACCGGACCAGCGCGCAGACCGTTCTACCTCAGACAGCCCGATGTGTTCTTGAACACCGTGGTCCACTCGGCGTCGCGGGGCTTGGAGTCTTCGTTGGGCTCCTGCTCCCAGCCTGAGTGAGGGATGATCACCTCGTTGGTCAGCGTCTGGAGGCCGTGGTTAATGATGACCATCTTCAGGGGCTCGTAGGAGGACAGGTTCCACAACGTGCCTGCAGTGGGGGTGGGAGAGCAGAGAGCTGATTTCTAACGCTTCACAGGCAGTGTGGCGGCTTTCCCGCCTCTTCCACTGCCCAGGGACACACAACTTAAATCCCAAAGGTTGTGAAAGCATGTTCATTTCCGTATGTCCGCAAATAGTCAACCAGCAGCCATTATCACCCTGCTACTCACAGCTGGCAGCCCAATGAAGCTCAGCAGGTGTGAGCCTGGCCAGTACCTGGATGGGAGACCTCCTGGGAAAAACTAAGGTAGCTGCTGGAAGAGGTGTTAGTGGCGCCAGCAGGGGGTGCTCACCCTGCGGTCCATGTGGGTCCTAATGCCCCAGTATAGTGACGGGGACACTATACTGTAAAAAGGTGCCATCCTTTGGATAAGATGTAAAACGGAGGTCCTGACTCTCTGTGGTCATTAAAAATTCCAGGGCGTTTCTCAAAAAGAGTAGGAGTGTTACCCAGGCTAACATTACCAATCAAGGCCTCATAATAATCCCCATCTCTGAACTGGCCATCACTCCGCTCTCCTCCCCACTGAGAGCTGGTGTGTGGGGAGAGTACTGGTGCAGTATAGCTGCTGTTATCCAGGTGGGGCTGCACACTGGTGGTGGTGGAGGGGATCCCCATTACCTGTAAAGCACTTTGAGTGGAGTGTCCAGAAAAGCGCTACATAAGTGTAGGAAATATTATTATTAAATATGGAAAGTCTGACATGGGAAATGGACAAAGCTCTTTTAATGAAATGTGAAGAAAGGCATTTGTCCTTGTTTTTCAAAATGAAAAAAAATCTGATCCTATAAACGGATATATATTTATACTGTATACGGAGAGAAAGAAACCTTACCCACTACATGAGAAGGATTATTGCTTATTAAGGCCCAAGAGTTCTTTATCCTTTTGGCAGACAGAATGAGCTTTACGAAAATACAAGGGGCAACAGCAATAAAGAAAGAATCAGGGAAGCTTTTTTTCATCATTACAAATGAATGCACTGGATCAAGATCTTTGATTTCTGAAAAACAGGGTTTTACTGCACAAACTGAAAGTACAAAAGCATGCAAACAGAGTGAAATAAATTGAAAGATGTTATGTTTCACCAGAAGAGTAGAGACAGTACAACTGTCTGGATTGAATAATGAGATACACCAGAAGCAGAGAATCTTGTTCTCTTTATCACAACAGAAAGCATGAATTGTTACGCTTTTCTGTTTAACTGCGATATTCAACACAGTGGCCATAACTACAGTTCTCAGTCCTATTCTGGCAAATTTTCTATTAGATTTGCATTAACTTAATTGAAATCACTTACTGCAAAAATTAAGATTTTAAAACAGCTATGCGGAAGGTCAAAATGATCACACATCTTAGGTCAAACACTTAGTGAGCAAAGATTACTTAAAAAGGAACACATACTGTAGTATCTAAGGCCAGACGTCTGCCTACAGAGTACAAAGATGCACATCTAGTGGAGTGAAAGGGATTTAAGGAAGAAGTACGCATGGATGCACAGTATGCTGGAGGGACTGCAGGTCGATTACCTCTCAGTTCAGTGTGATTAAGAATGCCCCATTTGTTTGAATAACAACCAGCAGCAACATGGAGTAAGATTTAATTATACACAGTTACGAGAACAATATAGTGAATGGGGTTTCTATATCTATATATTCAGAGAAATTACATAGGATTGCAATTATCAAGCTTGATTAAACCATTAGCAAGAAAGCTATTCAGAAACAATGTTTCCCTGATCTCATCTAATTGCAAAATGAGGTAACAATGATACCGTATCAGTGTCACAGAAATGATCCCCTTGCATGTTCTTATTTGTAACAGTGTCGTTTTAGATTTAATTAATTTAATCTTCCTTGTACTGCAGAAATCCATGCCCATGTATTCTAACCTGTAATCACAGGCTTTCGCAGTTGGAACTACTGAACAACTCTGATTACAAGATCTGGGCGATTGACTTGTGCCCTCTTCGGTCTTGCTAATTTTCTGAGGGGGTTAATCAAGCTGGTCTTGGCCCAGGAAGAGGCATAGCTTAGCAAAACTCAGAGTGAGTTCTACCGGTCTTGGGTAAAGAAGAAGAAAAAAAAGTCAAACTTTTGGAACCCTAATCACCAGCACTGTTCCAATAGTGGATGAGCTTCCAGCTGTGTTGCTTATTTTAAATCTTGTTTGGGATGACGTCACTAACCACAGCATGAGGAGACTCAGCTCAGGAAGAGGAGAATGTTGAATGGAAATCTCTTCAGTGAGAAGTCTGCCCCTTGCAACAAGCTCTAGGAAACCACAAGAAAATCTCTCATTTGTCAATTTCAGGTGATTAAAAATCTTTTTAAGATATGCACCAGAGATGATAACAGGCAGCACAAAACGATGACAGATCTTCCTAACACTTGAAGTCACTTATGCCACAACGCCGCTAAAAATAAAAATCTTTAACAACTGCAGAAATCCACTTTTACAGACTATGATGCATAAAGAAAGTGTTTTAAATGTCTCTTTTATTGTTTTTTAAGTTATTCCTTCTACTTCCTCTCTGATAGCCACCTAATCGATTATGAAGCAAAGAAAAAAGAGCAGTCAGGAAGGCTCTGTGATGAACACAATTGAGTTTGCCTTTCCTCATTGCAACCTGAAACCCTGCTTAATTCAATTTGCTTTCAGCTGCAGATGTGCTTCTGTAACAGCCCATTCACTCACTGTGGGCCATTATTGCTCATTCTTTCCCGTGATCATCCATCAGCCTAAGCAGATTTAGCATTAAGAACGTTAAGTCACTGAACATCAAGGAAGAAAAACTGCAAAGAAGCCAAGAGGAACAGAAACGTTCTGCTGTGTAAGTGCAACTGGACACTTGTCAAATCAGGCAAAAGGTGTCCAGCAAAAAGCCTATCATGTTTGTTGGTGGTGTTCCATCTTCTCTCACACACATTTGCACAAATCACACAGATCGGTGTGGCTGGAAAGCTACAAAAGCAGAGCGAACTACAGAGGAGGCACAGATAGCAAACCCACTGGGCATGTCCACAGGTGCACAGGGACAAAAGCACGACCGGAGATCCAGTATTTGGAGACATTGCCTGCAAAAAGCATAGCGAGTCCAGTGTTAACTGGATTGGCTGGCAACTGAAGCCCGCTACTGCCAAACTCTCTTGTTCAGTGCAGCCCTAGGAAAGCGGCACAGGTGCCCTTTAACTTAGATGCAGCTCTCTCTGATCTATTCACAAGCCTCACGATAGTCCAACGATAAAATAATCTGCCCACCCCTTCCATCCCTCGACTAGCAGCTTCCCAGATTCACTCTAACGCTCCTATGCGTTAATATATGTACATTATACTGGAGCTTATACTTATGTAAAACAGAAAAGAGTTAGGGGGGTGTAGGTGGTGTAATCCACCGACATTAAATAATGCAGTATGGGGCTATCTATGCTGAATGATTTACAGAGCAACAGCTCTTTCATCTTCAGATTCAGAATGCTAACCTTGTCACTTCTCTTCTTCAGCTGCAGCAGTACAGGATCTTATGCATTCCAAGCGGGTAGAGAACTTCTTGCAGCTCCACGGGAGATCAGAACACAAAGAACTCAAGCCCCTGTTTTAACAGAACACCGAAAATGGTTTCTGCCTCCTCGGGGAGGACATGCCGCAGTTTGGCGTTAACACCGAAAACACAGGTAGGCGGACTGCCGAGGGTAATCAGTCCAACAAACCACCTGAGTAAAACTTCACTGAGCCGCAGGGATTTAAGGAAACGCTAATCGCTCTGCTTCTTCACTTTAGCCTGCAAACTTTTCCTTCCTTCCCCATCAAACGCGATGCTTCCTGTTTTGCAGAGAAATTTAATGTGCTGTGGTTTGGACAGAATAAAGCCTTCAAAGAAAACATATGGCTATTTGAAAATAGCCCACTTTTTTTTAAACATGCAATTATTTTAATTGTAGAAAATCTAGCTCAAATCGGGTCGGTTTGACAGGCTGTGCTGCTGTTCGGAAGGGTTGCTTTTATGGGACTTTTGCACTTAAACCAAATGTCTCGTGCTGGTTTTGGAGAAGGAGAGGCCTATTCCTTGCCCAGCTCATGGAAGGAAGCTATTTTTAGCGACTGACTGAGAGCAGGTTTGCGCTGCAGAGGCAGTAATGTGTACTGCAGCACCCCCACAGCAGCATTACAGAGAATCTCAAGTTTCACGGACACTGCTCTCCAGCACTACAGAGTGCTCGGTTTAGTGCTCATGTCAAAAGTGCTCATGAGTGTAAGTGCACTACGCTGTCACTCAGATTTCTTTTATCCATCTCGCGACTTAGTGGAAACTGCAGTTGTGAATGTACACGAGCCAGCATACAAGCAGGCGAGTAACGATGGCAGCACAAAAACGCAACTCTCTGCCAAGTACAACTATTCCTCAACTCTCCTGATTAAAGGTTTTTGTCCTACGACAGGCTGCTCATTTTCTCCGGTACGTACAGAGTGGTGTCAATGACGGCTTGTAATGGTCAGCGAATTGCTACGCGAAAAGTAGCTGATTCACTTAAGCTTCTCTGCGGCGTGCTGTCAAAGCAAAACAAACATCCTTTCCAACAAATGCATGTCAGGTCTAACAAACCCATGGTGCTCTGCGGAGGTGAGCGGAACAAAAAAAGTACAAGAGGCCATGCTTTTCACCTGAACTGAGACTAATTAGTTTCTGTTTAAGTGCACTGCTCCAAGAACATGCTGTGCATCTCCGCTGGAGTACTTTATCATCAATATTGTAAAACTGCCTTTCGTGTCCGGTTATTTCCCACATTTCTTTAAAAAAATACATTTTTAATATATCTCTAGATTTTTTAAGTATACTATGAAATATTTATGGCTCTCATCTCATGCCTGTTACTCTTGACAAGCCTCTGATAAGCTTCACTACAGCCCATAATCTATTCACAGCATTCCCTCCTGCAGTATTCAACTGTCCATCTGAATTAACGTGCACGCCTCTAACGCAAAAAACGGGAGAAGAACACCAAAGCAACAGCAGACGTTCTTGCTCTGCTGTCAGAAAGCGTGTCTAGCTGACTCCAGCTTGGCAGGTGCTTAAAACACGAACATGAGGGGAGAGCCACGATGTCTTCTGGCCAATATATGAAAGGCCGAGCAGATTCGGCAAACTTTCTAGAAATACAGGTGGGATGGGAGGGAAACTCGGCGAGTTCCCGCAGCAGATCGCCGGTTTCCTGCAGCGGAGGAAGAGAGGATACAAAGGCAGGGCGTTACCTGTGATCAGCTCGCGGACCTCCATGTCGTTGGTCTTCCTCAGCAGGCGGATGAGGGCGGGGATGCCGTCGCTGTTCTTGATGGCCACCTTGTTGTCGTTGTCCTTGCCGTAGGAGATGTTGCGCAGGGCGCCGCAGGCCTTGCGGTGGACCTCGGGCTTGGGGTGGTCCAGCAGCCCCACCAGGATGGGGATGCCCTTCAACTGGCGCACGTCCTTCTTGATCTTGTCGTTCTCGTAGCACAGGTGCTGCAGGTAGGCGGCGGCGTTGGACTTGACCGGGTCGATGGGGTGGCCCAGCATGGCGATGACCTCGGGCAGATCCGGGTCCCTCCAGCGCGGGTCCTTGCGGATGCTGTCGATGGAGGGTGAGCGGCGGCCCATGTGGTCCAGGCTGGCCATGCTGCCCCTCTCCGGCTGGGCGAGGGGCGCCGTGTACACACTGTGGACGTAGGGGTGCCGCTCGTCGATCAGCTCCGCCTCGATGGGGTCCTCGTAGCCGCCCCTGTGGAGAGGAAACGGGCAGACGGGGCGTACCCCCTCGTCAGCAGCCCGCGCCAGCGTGTCGCCGAAGGAAACCACCTCTGCCGCGGAGAGAAACGCTACCTTCGGCCTCGAGGGAGGGTTTTTAAAAAAAATTAACACAGAACAAGAGGCGCTGCAACGCCACAGACAGGCTGTGTAGCTGCAAGCGACTGGGAGCTAAAAATAAGGCACATTTTTCTCAACTTTGCCATGCAGGAAAAGTTAACTTACAGCAAAAAGCTGAATCTCGCACCCGTTTCGGAAAAAAAGGCTGTGTTACAGCGCCTGCTCTTCCCAGCTTAGAGAAGTGAAGCTGCAGTTCACCTCTCCTGAGCTGCAGCACTATATCCATGCATATTTATGGCCCTTTCCCAGGACTGAACAGATTCCCGAGCCCTTTTCTATTTGCATTGCTCTTTCCTTTGCAGAGCCAATCCCACAGGCAGGCTACAGTACCTGCAGGCTCTCTCCTATCCACCTTCTCTCTGTGATCAACAGTGAGCAGCACAGGCAAGGCGAACCAATCCATCTTTATAAAGCACGGTGGCAAAATGTAATACATTCTGCATTACTGGGTTGCCAGCTCGCATACTGATAAGAGTTGCTCCTAGCTAAGAGATCATTAGGATTTGAAGTAGATCTACACATAAGGCAAGGTTATTTTTATTCAAGATGGCCTTTTTTCTTAACCTCTGCAAGCTGCACTGTATTTTTCAACTTCAACTCTCCGAAAGAGTGAATCCCAATGGATGTGTCATTAAGTAAAAAAGAAAAGCTGCCTATAGTAATATCACTGCCTGCCTTACTCGGCCTTCTTCCCAGTCTCTTGTTCTACACACCACAAATAGACTGAACAATTCATATATAAATACTATGTCCCTGTTATTTAAAACTTTGTTTCCATTTCTTCTTTTCTTTCACAGATTTTTGCTCGGGTTAAATACTGTAGCAAGCTACGCAACTATTGCAGAAAAAAAAAAGAACTTCTAAAAACGGCACCAGGAAGATTTATTTTTACTGGACCATGATTTGAAGCCACGTGAACCACAAGCAAAAAGCAATTCTTCCCTTTCTCACAATTAGCAATTAGGATTTTTTTTTAGAGGAGTGGTTTATTCTAGAGTTAGTTGATTTAACAGGTTTTTTTTTTAAATGTGAGCAACAGTCCCATTTTTTAAGGTAGAACTAGCTGTATTTTAACAAGGTGAGCTGGAGCTATGACTCGGTAATGTTCATTGTGAACTCAAACTGAAAGGTATTCTGCTAGTTCACTACGAGGAGTGCAGGGAATCGAGAGTTATCAATGTCTGCCTGAGGCTGTTGATGGAAATCCATCCAACTGGCTCAAATAAACCCACAGCCCACAATCTGTCTAGCTGATCACTGCGTCTTCTGACACAGCCCCTATGTCATCAGCTGTTTGCGTCCCCGAGAAACTAATTGAATCAATTTTAACCAAACAACGAAAACGGAACACTGCGGAACTCAAGGGTGGGCTCAGATCACAACAGGCAATAGGCAGGATATCAAACGAATTGAAGGGATTGGAAAAACATGACTCACCCCTGACAGCACTATGACGGTGCCAGTGATCAAAAGGGCTGTGATTTTCAAAGGACCTTACCTTCAAAAACCAACAACAAAGCCACCATTCGCCAGTGACAGGGCTTACATTCCAGATAGACTGGACTGATTCGGCAGCCTATGAAAGGAAACTGCTACACAAACCGAAGGCTGTTGGCTTTATGGTACTGTATTCTTGACACACACATTTCCCAAGCCAGGTCCAACCAGTAGAAAATTACAGACCAACACTGACAGTCGGCCTGAACAGCTCCCTCACTTTCACCCTGTATTCTTAAAGCGCTACTTGAAACCACATTCATGAGCTGTGGGACTTCATAATTGGACTTTGGGATGCAGGACGCATTCAGCCTAGGCTGTAGGCCATATGAAGTGCACTTTATTGGATTTCTCTCAGCTTTCTTTCTCGAGATCTGGCAGAAAAGGACAGAGGAGCTAGGAGTGGCTACAAGGAGCAGTGGATCTCCAGACAGCACAGATCCTAACCTGGTCACTGCACAAAGCTGTCCTGCAGTGAGCCTTTCTCAAAAAAGCAAAACTTTGCTGGGCTTCAAAAGACTATATCGCTTTGTTTTCTGAGGTCTAGACTTATCTTCTTCTTACGGCTAATTAAAACTCCACCTGAGTGGGGACTGTGAAATGTAGGTTTCATTGGAAATAATCCGTGAGCCGAAGGCAAATGAGAGATGTGAGCTGGGGACTCCATTGATTTAAAAGAAAAGACAGAAAACGGTGGACGATGGAGAATTTTCTACTAAATCTGGTGACTGAGAAAGTGAAGTGAGTGGAAAACGCTTATCAGCTCCAAATAAGGGGCAAAGTTTGGTCACCCATCACTCTCCATCATTGACGATACCTTATTTTCCTCATTACAGAATTTCTGTATCTCTTCACAATAAGTGATGGTTAATGATTAATACGTGCAGAGTGAGGGAAGTCATATGAAAAGGTCACTAACACATTGCGACTTAAAAGTTCATTTTGCATTAACACCATAGGCATTTCTGTAATTAGATTAAAAATACGGACCCATGGTGAGCTGTGAAGCAATGAAAGCAATGTACAGTTAATAAAATATCATATCATCTTTCAGATGTAACCATTTCTGTGCAAACACTTTCAGGCTCACTGACTGGAATGTCAAGATTTGCATTTAAATTGATAAAGATTTAAAATGCAGCACATGAAGGACTGTCTGCATTCATTTTTATTCATGGGCTATCAGCTCCTATGCCATCTCTCCTAGCATCCGAGAGGGAATGCCTTCTCACCTGTGACCTTTCTCCAGTGTGTCCAGTTTTAATTTTAGCTTCCCAGTAAATGAGCTCAAACATTTTTCTGCTGGATGACGACAGACGTAGGTAGTGGACTTTAATCAGACTTTTTGTCCTTTGCACCATGTCATCGGATAGTTTTATTATACATCAGTGATGTGATGTTTTCCTAGCAGTAATGATTTTTGGGTTCATCTCAGACTTCTAAGTGATCCTCTGTGTAGAATCATGTCACAAAAAAAGTGAAGAAGTCAGACTTTTTTATCATAAATGATTCGCTTTTTGGGACGGTTAGAAGCAGTGATGTTTCACAGAAGTTGTTCCAATGAAAACCTGACCCTGCATGACTTTAAACCTCACCATAATGTCCCACCACTGCCAGGTAACACTATAGCTGTATAACCAATGAGTCTGAGGTTCTGCAATTGTAAAGCTAACTAACTTTAGCATTAAACATGATCCCCTGATCCTTCTCTTACACACTCATTAATGGATTTTATGTTGAGAAAATCAGCAGATTAACAGGTCCAAAGCAGAGAACACCTATAAGAACCCCTAAAGGTGTTCTCAAAAACTATTTAGCACTACTATATTTTGAAGAGGGCAGTAGAGCATCGATGATGAGTCTCTGGACTCATAACTAGTACAGCAGGTGGCGAGTTTGAGTCCGCCCTGCAGATACGTCAGTCGTACTTTGGATGAGGTGCTTTTCCCAAGATGCTCCAGTCCAACCAGCTGTATAAATGGGGACCAGCATGGTGGGGGTTCTGCAATGGACTGGTTTGTTGCCATGAAAACCAGGATAATCTCTGGCCCCCATACACAACTGTGGCACTGGCTTTCATTGAAAAATAATGTGAATAAGCAACACTAGATCAAATTATGCTCTGCATAACACCCCTTTAGCCCTGCGGAGACAGCAGCCTGGAAAGTGCATCATATAGTACAGGGCGCCTGATCTGGAGACACTATCAGCTCTGCTCGGGGTCGAACACACAGAGGCCAACATAAGCAAAGGCCCTTGGTGTTCAAGGGCAGTTTGGCAGGTCTTTGGTGTAACCTGGTATCGGGATGAATCTTGCAGAGATACAGGGTCCCCAGAAGGAAACCACCAGCTACAGAGTGGCTAGAAACCTCATGCTGTCTGCACCAGTTTAAACCCAGTACTTAATTATATTAATGACACCCTGCAAACAGGGAATTCAAAAAACAAAGAAAGATGCATGCCATACAAGGCATGCATGTTCAGTGACAACACCAAAAGGTTCTGTCAAGCATCTTAATTTCTTTTTTCTACTTAATTGAAGGGTTTACAGCTGACTCGATGATAGGCTGTAATTAAAATGATTTAATTCCTGCATCAATTACGGCAGTTTATGTCAATGCCTGTCATTAAAGGAGTGCATGTGAAGGCTGGAGACTGCTTCTGCCTGCTCCTGAGGTTTGTCATTCAGCATGCCAGGTCAGTTCCAGGAAAACACTGACAGTCAAGATGAAGTCACACAAGGGAGGGCAGTACACTGTGTATTTTAAACCATCGACAGAAAATGTAGGGAAATGAGGATACTTGCCTTGGATTTAAGAAGTCTGTTGCACTGATCTAACTGCTGATTAAAGGAAAACAACTTAATTCTACATTTCCTGCCCCCAAACAACTGCTAAAAGCAGCATGTCAACCGTGCAGTCTTTGAACTGGAGAGGAATGCGAAAGATTTGATTAAGAGGACACCGAAATTGTTCCAAATACTGTACAGTTAGGGGATGATCTGATAACAGTCAATTACAACTTTGTAGCTCCTTTGAAACTCGACAAGATACAAACATGAAAGCTGCTGTCTCAGACAACCTATTCACATTGACATTCCACTCAAGTTTGAAAGCTTCTCAGCTCTCTTTTTGGCTTAGTACCAACATTTCTTCCACTTAAAAAAAAAGAAAAATAAGAATCTTTAATAAATCCATCTGTCACATTAGACAGGTCAGGATGAAAAGTTGTTTTTTTTTTTTACCCTTACTTCCACCAAACAGTTTCGTCTGCTTTCAGTTCCTTAGCCAACTGCCTTTTCTTGGGGGCGCAAGAATGGAAACTGCAGTAGTGTCACTCAAACCGAAACAAAAGAGAAACTCCATACTGCCAACATCTAACAGGTTTTTTTTTTTAAACGGATTTAAATAATACGCAGGGTACGTCACACCAAATGAGATAAGCAATGATTGAGCTTGGCCACAGTTCATTCAGAAGGAGCCTTTCAAGAAATATAGCCAGTATAGCCAGGAAAGTGTCTGGCCACAGAAATGAGGCTTTCAAAAAAAGTTAGCAAATCAACTCGCTGTATTACAATCCTCTCCATATAAAGCAATTCTCCTTAATCATTAGTCAAATTGACAATTAACATTTATCCTTAACATAGAGCTGTATAGTTCAATTTGCTTTCTCTACCATGTTTTAACTATTACGTGTTCATATCACACCAAATTATCCACTGCCTTTCTAATTTTCTTGACCATCAAGCCATAGGGGTGTAACCACGGCATCCTGGACAAATGTCCCCCTGGCCTTTACCCATCATGGCCTCCTAATAATCCCCGACTCTGAACTGGCTTCATTACTCTGCTCTCCTCCCCACTGAGAGCCTGTGTGTGGGGAGCGTTCTGGGACACTATGGCTGCCGAAACATCATCCAGGTGGGGCTGCACACTGGTGGCGGTGGAGGGGATCCCCATTACCTGTATAGAGCTTTGAGTGGAGTGTCCAGAAAAGTGCTACGTAAGTATAAGGACTCATTATTATTGTTGTTATTATTATTATCAAACCTCCTGAACTCACGTGGTGGACATTGCGTTCTGGTGGAAGACGCAGGCCAGTTACTTGGCCCTGCCTTTCCTATCCTTCAGAGAGAAATGGCGTCCTTACCGGACTCTGGTCGGGTCCCTGACCGGCTCTCTTCCAGGCCTCCCCCTGTCGGCTCCTCCGAGAGTCCGCCGCCCGGCCGTGGAGTAGTCCGGCTCCAGCTCGTAGGCCTCCTCTTCTTCGGGGCCCAGGCTGCGCCGGTCGTCCTCCAGGCCGTAGGGCTCGGGCTGGAAGCGCTCGGGCTGGGAGCGGTTCAGCTCCGCGTTGTTGCTCCCAATGGAAACCTGGGGCTGAGCCATGTGGCCGTAGTCGTCCTTCCTGATGGGGAGCGTGTAGCTGTTCTCCGGCCGGTAGTTATTGGGGGGCATGTAGGCGTAGCGCGGGCGGTAGTTGACCCCTCTGGAGAGGCTGCCGTAGTTGTCCGACATGTCTGTGTAGCCATCGTGGATACCGTAGTGGCGGTACTGCCCCTCGGGGGTGTCGGTGTAGGAGTCGTTGTAGTTATTGTAGGAGCGGGTGAGGGTGGAGGTGGCCTGGGGGGTGATGTACCGATCGCCGTTCTTCATGTACCTGCGGTCAATGGAGTCCGTGTAGCTGCCCAGCGGAGAGGAGCCGTCCGCTACGGGCAGGCCGTCTGGACCCATGGGGACCTGGCGCACCGTCCGGGTGGTCACGGTTTTCACCATTTTAGTCACCTGAAAAGCGGCAGCAGGGCAGCTTTGTCAGTGTGCGTTCATTACAAGCCTAATGCAACTCTGCATGCGGGAGCGACGTGCAAGCATTTCCGAGCCCAGGACAGGCCGCTCAGTGCAACACAAGCCAAGCCAACCACAATCAAACTCCAAACGGTCCAACACTCATGACACACGCCGATCCTTAACCCACATTTGGAGCTTTCGGTGGTTTTCATCTTCACAGACACTTAGATTGATGGATGAAATGCAAAAAACATCTACACCTATTTTAGGTGCCGCTGTATTTAGGCATTTGCTGGTATATGAGGTACAGATCTGTACGCTTGGAACACCACAGCTGGTCCAGTCTGCACCACAGGGATAAGATTAATTCATCATGACCTATGAAGTCTATTCCTATTGTGCTAAAAGGGCCAGATGTCAAAATTTTGGACAACCAGTCTTCTCCTTTAAGATCCGTAGGCAACAAAACAGCTGAACTATTGGAAATTCTGCTTGAACGCCATTTGATCAGATTCAGCCCTCCACTGGGCTTGCAGTGAAATGAGCTCATTTTGCAAAACAAAGCTGTTAGGAGAAGAACCATGGTAATCAACTTAAATGATCCAGGGAATTGTTCTCATAGCCTGAAGAGACAGATCAATGAGCAATTACTGAAGTCAACCGCAAGAGAAATAGTTAACCACAGAAGCCAGACAATGCCTTTATAACCCTTAGGGAAAAGCTTCTTGCTGGAATATTTGTGTTTTAACACAAATATTGTTAGAATTTCAACGTGCACGTTGGAATGGTGGAGAAAAAAGCAAACTCAAAACCTGTTTTTTTTTCTTCTGGCCATGGTGAAATGATCTCTCTCAGACCTGGCTGACTGGGAGTCAGTGCTCTTAATGGAAAAATCAATGCTTTTAAAAGTAACTGGAGCCTGTCAGACAATCTGAGCTCTGTCTTCATAAGTTCCTGAGAGATAAAGAATCAGATTGGCTATCCAGATATTCCTGCACAATAATTTATTCTTTCACCTGTGTCTTTACATTCCCCATAAAAATTAATGAGGTTTGTAAAAATTAATTATAAATCAAAATGCTCCCCATCTGGCTCTCTCCTCTCAGAAACATTGTCAGTCTGCCACAATGTACTGTACGTCAAACTGCAGTTGATCAGTGAAACAGGGTGCAGTGTACCAATTACATATCTTGTTTTGTAGAATGCAGCTGTTAAAAAATACTCCCCAAGTTATCTGATGTGACTGTGTTATTCTCCTTTCCAAACCAGACAATAAATTAATTGTCTGCTAGTAAATGCTATTAAGTAATTCATCTGCCAACTGATAACTTAATAAAGGAGCACTGAAATTGTTATCCTTAGTATTTTATACTATACCTCATATCATTGATAGCAGTTTCTGGTTTGAACATGCACAATTAGTTCTTTATATCACAATAATGCTGAGGCCAGATGTAAGGTATCTACAGTAATTACTAAATCATATTAAGGTGCTGTATTCCCAAATCACACCAGTGAACCAAGAGATTTTTAGGTTACACCAACTTTAATCAAAACGTTTAGCTCAGAGGTTAGAATTTACCAAGCATTTCATCCTCTGTGTTAATAGTGGATTAAGTTAAAACAGGCAGAAATGCTTTCTCTTGCATTATAGCTGGACTGTCTTTAAAAACATTAGAGGAAAATATTTCGAAGCATTTTTTCTATTTTCTACATATTAATTTCACATTCAATACATGATATGAAACAAATATTGATAGCTATATATTCCAGGAAATCACACCTTGACCTGCTCCAAGACCGATCATTGCAAAAGTTCTCTTTTCTGATCTGAAAACCCTGAATGGATGCCAGAATTATGCTTCTTAAAAGGCGACTGAGCTAAAAATTAATATCAACCTTTTTACATAATAAGCTGGAAACACTTCTCAGAACTAAAATAAGTCATTGGTTGTATTTTAATAGGATGAAATTGCATCCCCTCAATTCTGCAATCAATTAGCAGATGTGCTTGATCTGATAAAAAAAGTATTTTGATTTTTGTATGTAGCAATCCAGTAAACATGTTAATACTGTACCATATTATAATTGAGGAACAGATGATTCCTTAACAGTTTTGTACAGTATATTTCAAGAATTACTGTCATAAAAACTGATCCCAACTCTATTGTTTGAATTTGTTTAATCACCCAAAACAAACCAGAAACTTTGCAAATGCGGAATTAAAACTGCCCTTTTCTTTCAGGACATTTCTAAGTATTCTGCAGTAATCGTTTTCAACTAGGGACCTCAAAAATAAAGAAGTATGAAAAAATAAAACTGGCTCACACTGGCAACAAAAAGATCTCAGTACAGCTTCATCTTACTGGAATTAAAAAGAATGAACTGCGCAGAAAACCTTTCCCTAACAGAGTGTCTCCATTCTGGGGAAGGAGGCGCTGTACTTGTTGAGGTTGGGACTGATTCCTGGACTGATTCCTGCTATAATGAAAGGTGGTCACACTCGGAAAGCAAACAGAATTGTTGTGCACCCAAGTGCAAGACTGCTTAACAGGCGTCATGGTCAGACCATACACCATTGTGAGTATTTCATGATGTCTTCAGCGGTTTGTGAGAACCAACACAGAGCAGGCAAGTTAGGTGTAGTTACTGTTAGGCAAAGCGAAACCAGGAGCACTGTGTGTTTACAGGATCTATCTCCAGGGTAGGAGTAGAGGGCTTAGGCTCCACTATCTTCTCGGTCACCGTCATGGGGTGGTATGTGCGACGCGTGATGGTTTTAACAACCTTCGTCACCTACAGGAGGGGATGGAGGATTTCAAGCAATGTGAACACCAGATAATCACAAATGGACTTTAACACAAACACAAATGACTAGAGATGGGCCTGTAGGCATAAATAATGCTTCCGTTTGGATTACTCCTCTATTGTTTTTTTTTCTCTTCTACAATTTAATCTGTTGGTTACAATAAAATTCAAAGGCAGAAACCGTTTTGAGAAACGTGAAGGCCACATGGTTGGAAAAGAGGCTGACTTGAATTTCATTTCTGTAGCATACTGAACCTAGTTACTTCTTGTGCTCATTTTATCCAGGTTGTTGCTGGTCAGGCCAATCTCTTAACTAAAGCATTGCACAACAAGGTCTTATTTTTCAAACAACAAAAGCAACATGTGTCTCATTTTGGCAATCAGACACCACATCATTTCAATTATGACCACCACTGAGCTGAAATGTGTTTAGCTCACTATTAGCTTTTCCTGTTGTCAACTGCAAGATGCAGAGACATGTAGACAGCATATGGTATTGTTCACAGAGCATACAGAAGTACTATATACACGTATAGACATGGAAATATTAGGATAATTATTATTTGCACTTCTTAAAAAAATGAAATTGTTTAATAGATAACATGTTTAGAGATGTTCAATTAAAACAAGTGAGCAATTCCTTAAATCTTTAGTGTTCTTTTCACACTTACATAATCTGTTGGACATTTTCATTTGCTTTAGTGTACCATGCACAGGAAAAATCCAAGAGTAAAACTTTTTTTTTTTTAATCAATCAGTTAAGATGCATCAGCTGAATTTAGAGGCCGTCAGTTTGTGTGTGTGTGGGGCGGGGGGTAGATTCAGTGTGAACTGTGGGGTATGACCTCAGCACAGGATTCAAGCAAAATTTGTAGCCTTCCAAAATGGAATCCACCCAATTTAGAGAAATGCCGTCATGTCAGACATTGTGCTTTCTGTTGTAAAATGAAAGCAGCTTTTAAAAAAAGATTCTTCTGCTAGTACACCATATTACACTACAATATATACAGTATATAACAATCTTCCACAGTTCTTCATCTGATGCAGTTTAGTTCAAGCAGTGTGTCACAAGGCCAGACCAGTGGGTTCCAGTACAAGAAGAGTCTCTGCACTGGGAGTTTAGGCTGCAATGCTTTAAACAAAAGATTGTGGGTGCATGTTTCAAGCGATGAGCTTGTGACGTGAATGAGATTTGCTTAATTTAGTAAACTTTTGACTTACCTTCACATTAGTTGATAAATCCTTATCAAGACAAAATAAAAAATACAGAGAAGTACATTTAGACAACAAAAAAGAGCTTTTTAAAACAGGTAACTGAGAAACAATGGGAAGCAATTTTAGGACCGTATCCAGTTGTGGTGCCATGAGTATTGTCGTTGTTTCAACTTTTAATGGTCTTTGATGGTCTTAATGGTTTCCTTCCATGACAAGAATAAAACAGGGTAGGAAACCAGTTACTCAAAATGAATTACCATCAAAAAGTGAAAGTAATACAAATCCAAACATTATGAGATTTGTGACTTTTGTAAATCACAGAATAAATAAAACTCCCCTATGAGGGGGGACCAGGACAAACACCCCATGGAGAAGAAAATGCTGATAATTATTCTGAAATGAGGGACAAAGCTGCAGAATTAGTTTCTTAATGCTGTGATATTTCAAAAAACAAAGAAAGAAAATTTCACAGAAGCACGAACAGGCCTGAGGTGAGGGTGTACTTGTCTTGAAGGCAGTGAAATATATACTGGTTACAGAGAGACCGATACACATGGCAAAATCAAAATGTGTGCAGTTTCTCTAACCAGTCTTTTAAGCCCAGCCTGTTATCTATGGGATTAGAAGTCTAAGGACGTCTTCCATCGCCCGTGTATGAAAAGGTGCTCTTGTTGTTTCTCTTCGTTAAAGAAGGGTGAGATAAGATGGTGCCAGTTTGGTCCCGGGCACTCAAGATGATGTGTTCTGCTGAGTAACTTTCCACAGCTCTGTCAGAGCACCCAGCAGGTCTTCCAGGGGTATGAGGGCCGGCTCCTGTCAGGGTTTGTCCCCTTACCTACCCCCCACACTCCCCCATTTACCTTCGTCTCAGTCCGGCGAGTGGTTCCATCTTCTGAGGTTACCACGGAGACGTGCGAGGTGGGCGTTCCAGGGTCCTCCTCGATCGTCACCGTCTCTTCCACCAGCTCCTGAGGCTCCTGCATCATGGCTAGTGACGTCTGGTTACTGGGGCTCTGCTCCTGCAGGCCAGAGGGCACAGAGAGACGGGGGGGTCACAGGAGGAGAAAGCAGGAAGGACTGGGGTGGGTGGGGTAGAGTCCTCATGTTTTTTTTAAATAAAAGCCTCGGTTCTGTTGGCCACTCTGATTTCTTTTCACACAAAAGCAGGAAAACTAAAGTGCAGAAATGTACAGCACTGCCTGACCCTATTTCAAGGGAACACAACAAGCAGTGAACAACGTCCACAGTGTCTCTATACTGCACAGCTACCAAAGGACTATTACTGTCAAATCAATAACACACTTAGCACATATCTAAGTAACCAGGGCCCATTATTTTGGAATGTTGCAAAACTAAAAGGTCTGCTTAACTCAATTCAGCATTCTCTGCTACCTTTTCTTGTCCATAAATTCAACTCAAGACTTTCATTTCAGATATTGAGGGAAATCGTCTTAATCACAGCCTGCTAAACCACAGCATAGAACTGTTGTTTTTTTTAACAAACATGGCTGGTTTCAAAGCTCATTTTAGTTTGTCAATAACCACAGGTTATTTGTAAAAAGGAATAAATATTTAAACCTCAATTCCTCCCCGTGGTGGTAAAGTGAATCATTAAATTCAAAGCAACCATGTAGCACTAAACATTAAGACTGAAGCTAGTGAGAAGGATTACAGATCACACAGCGGAGCCTCTCCTGTAAACTCAAACCTTCATGTAAGACTCGGCTTGCTCTTGTCAGAAGTCAAAAGTTTCACAGTCCTTAAAGTCTGATGCCAAAAACCATCAAGGAACAACAAGCAGCCAAATTCGGCAGCGATAGCTGTAATACAGCAACTGCACTCCTCTAATTGCAAAATTACTGACAGAAAGGAAGACACTAGAAACAACTGTCAATAACAACTAAAATTATATTTTAGTCTACAGTATGATTATAGCCTCACGGTGTCCATTAAGAAAAGTTACGCGCTATGCTGTCATTGTAAGCAAAGGAACAGAGGTTTACCGGGGCTCTTTATCATTTCCTTTGAAAATACTAACAAGGTATAAACCCTCATTAGTACTAATGAAGCTGTCATCTTCATCACTCAGACTTTCATATCACACCAGAGCTACAGGCACCTTCTATCTCTTCAACCCTTTGAAATGATCAGATGACTGTACAGTACGTCCAAACAACCTGAAGAGACTCTGACCACAGCTGGAAACAATACCAGTGTTGTGATGACCAAAGACATTTCAATTTCAATTTCAATTAATCACCGGATACAATACTTGGTGCATAATTAATTTATATGGGCAAACTCTCTCCTGTACATAAAATCTTGGCATTTCTTTCATCAGAGTAATACTGAAGAAAATATGCAATATCTAGAGGCATATTTGCTAAATTTTTAAACTTGGGATATAGCTTGGCACCACCTACTAAATACACATGATTTTTTACAACTAGGCACAAAAGACATAAATGTAAGGTTCATTTATAAGACATCTTTTTCCCCATCCATCTAAGGTAGACAGCCATGGTAAATACTCAAGTTCAGCAAACCTGGCCCTTGCTATTTACAGTAATTGAAGTTCACACCTTAACATGTCGTTAGCGCCTAAGTGGGGTGAAAATTGTAATTGTGACCTTTTCTTTCCCTCTGAAATGATTTTCCGTACAGACACGCTTGGGTACTGCTATTCGTACCAGCTCTGTCGGTTTGAATATGTCACCACTACTGCCTGCTTCATTAAGCACTTCAGGCTGCTGCCAAGCCAAAAAATGTGAAGGCTTAGCTTGGCCAGAGAAATGATGCTTAAGTGAGCCACTTCAAAAAAAGCCACTGTTCCTTCAAAAAGAAATAAACAGGAAGCAAAAAGAGTAGAACTTGCTGCCTCGAAAAAATAAATTAAAAATGCAGAAAGGAGTTAACATAAATCTTTCATCTCAGGTATGGGAAGAAATTAATTGCCTGGCTGTGACCTTTAAGAGCCGGCTAAGAAATCTCTGAGAAAATAGCTCCATAGACCAGACAGGGTGCATTAAAAATACATCCCATATTTAATCTCAGCAACGTCACCTCGCCATTTCCTGCAACCAGTCCTTTTCGGAGAGTGACACCTCACTAAGCTGAGGCCAGACAACATTTGAATTGACAGGCACAGGAAACTGACACCAGTAAGGAAAATGGACACAACTCTGAGACATCTCACAGGGGAGACGGAACAGAAGAGTCTGAGCAAAGAATCTGGACTTAATATACTGTAGTTAAAAAAACTGGACTCTTGTTCGCCTGTAAGAACTGCCCAACCTTGACGCAAAGACTTTCCTCTGGAGAATGCTGGAACAGGGGGTTATGAAACTACTTGTATGCCTCCCTTTCAAACAAACATTAGTACCACAGAAAGCACTTATTTAATGTACAGTATTTGGCCAAACAAAGTCCTATTCTGTAAAAGAAACTTTTCAAATACATTTCTGTAAGCGGGGCAAGATTTTGAAAGCTTGCATACAGAAATGGCAGCGCTTTCTGTGATATGATGAGTCTTCTTATGTTGTTGTTTGAATTGCCCACTGCGGTGAGACTTTGGTTGAAAATCTTTGAATATTCTGTCCAGGGATTTAAGGATTCAGCACTGTTTGCTCAGGGTGCCGCTTCGTCAGTTGCTGCTGATGAAAGTCCCCCCCCCCCCTTTTCTTGCCTTGTGAAAAGGAAAGATGAGAACAGAAGTAAAGAGTATGTTTGGGAACTTGTAAAGAAATTCAGGAATCTTTGCTCCTCGTCTTTCTTGGATTCGGGGGGTTCAGAAACAGATTTCAACTGCAGGAAATTAGATGGTCTGTCGATGGCTTTTAGCATTTCACCTTTAATATATTCGACACCTCCACCTGACTGCTGGCTGTGCCAAAGAAATGAGGTTCACAAGTCCTTACCAGTCTTCACAGTGCATTGCTAACACTGCAATGTGAAAACTGTCAGCAGAAAACTATTATTTAGTTATTCTTCTCTATTTTTGATTTGAGCGCTCCTGAATTGCCTTAACCCTCATTGCCACTGCAATTTCGAAATGCTTGATTTGAATAGCTGCTGCTGTAAAGGCTGGGGCACAATATAAGCGAGTGCCCTACATGACCCTGATTTTCCACCTGCTAGGAAGAATGAGTGGAAATATTAATATTCTTCAGCAGCACCAACAAGAGGCTTATTTAACTGTTCCCCTCTGGGGATCTCCTGGAGTCTGGACAGTTAAATGTGAGATGTTCAGACAAACCAGCTTATGTAGTTTAGCACAGCTAAAGGCTCTTTTGGTCAATAATTGTTCCTTTCACAAAGACTTAGATAACTGCACTTGGTCCATTAAACACTCACTAAAACTCCAAAAAACAAACCTACCGCCAGTTATAAACAGCAAACCTGTTACAATGTGGACACAGAAAAGCTTTAATTTTATCAATTTATTTGCCTTGATTCTTTTATCCCAAGAGACTTTTATTTGCAGCCAATGACACAGCTGGGTATTTTATTGGAACAAGCCAGGCTCAGAGCCTTGCTCCAGCCTTGTCTCATCTTGGGTTTGAACCCACAACCGCCCAGTTAAAACTGCAGAACCCTGACTGCTGCTTCAGAATGCTGTGGGAAGCAAACAGCCACCCTTGTGCAGCAGGACTGTAATCTGCAGCTGGTCAGGTGGTGAAAGGTTTAACTGAACGCAGCCCTTACATACAATCCCAAAGCAGGGCAGTATGAGTCTATTTAAACTTGGGCTTCTCATGAATTCATCAGTCTTTAACTGATTGTGCCATCTTGGGAGAACCTAACCGCCATCAGATTATTCACACATCACAGGACCTGGGAGGCAGCACTTTTCCCATCAGCATGGCGTCACAAATTGGAGCCATTAATCATTAGTTCTGATTCCACCTACTGGGTGCCTAAGGAATGTAAAGATGCAGAGCTACAAGTGGGAGACGAGACACCCCAGCACAGAACCACGAGATGCAAACAGGGGACAGGGAACGACACACAGGTGTCAGTCATTGCTGCGTGGGGGTCTTTAAGCTTCAAAGAATTGCGACTAACAGAGCCGCATCCCAGGGATAAACAAACCGATGACGCACTTATTCAAACCAAATGGATGAAACTGTGCAATGATTGGTCCCTCAGAGGCTGAAACGAAAAAAAAAACTGCAGTTAAAACAGGAACAACTGCAGTGCCTAGCAATAATTAAAGACCTCATCATTCCAGGGAACAAGTCACTCATCAAATTATACAGTCATTCAAATCCTGAGAGGCTTCAATGGAGGATGGCACTGTGGAATTAGAATTGTAATCATGTTTAAACTTACTGAAATAAAAATCATCACCCCAGAGATGAAATCCCCCTTCTCACATACTCCCATAAAGTCTAAAACACAATATGGTGTGTAGTACATCTTATTCTACTACCAGATGTTCTAGCTAGAAAAAAGGAGACATAATAGTGCCTCTCGGAGCCTTTAAATTGAATAGGTTTTTGAAGAAACTAAAACTACAATTCAAATCTGAGGAACAAAACTTTTAACAAACCCTACGAAACAGCAAAACAATCTTCAGAAAAGATAGACCCTTCCTTTTTCGTGTTGGGAAAAATCGCAATTATTTTCAACAGTCGGCAATGGTTATTGTTTGTTTAATACTTCATTCAGATGTAGGGTATTTGTCAGTTGAGACAACTTCACACCACACCGCAGTAGGATCACGTGGAGTGAGTGATGACTTGGGCCTGAGATTCATAAGGCTGGAATTGAAAACAGCTGCTGAATCAAGAGAATAAACAATGGATTTGAGCAACAACAATGAAACCAGTTCAAATAACTGATCCACACAAAATGTTCCAAACATTAAGCCATGGACTGCTGATTATACAGCCCTACTGACTGCACTGCAATAACAGCTTCCCTCAACACTTACTGTAGATTACCCTTACTCCAGTGTACAGTTTCACACGTACATATTTAATGTACAGGACGCAGCTAGATTGAAACTTTAAAACAA